GCTGCATCTGTAAGCGGCAGTCCGCATGTAATCATATCAAATGGCCTCATTCACACAGTGTAGAGTCGGGCCGTACAGATCCGTATCGGGCCGCTCCCGGGAGGGACAGGTGCTGCGTGTGGTTGCACGCAGCATCATGTTCTTCTCTATGGGAGGATGCGGCAACACGCACATCCGAGCGGGTCCGGGTGTCCGTACTTGGACGCAGAAAGGATGGATCCTGTCTGCGTCCGAGCATGGACACCCGGACCCGCACAGACGTGCAGTTCGGGTGTGCATATGTCAGCGTGCGGCCGCGTCCTCCTATAGAGAAGTGAGCTGAAGCAGAGACACCGGCACTCCAAATTTGCAAAATACGTCTATTTATTGACGTGCATCGTGGTAAAAAACAACGAACGTTTCGGGGGTCACAGAGGATCCCCTTCATCAGGTAAAACATACAGTGTAAGTGCACATAAACACAGCTGATATAAAGCCCCAACCCTAATCAGAATGGCCAATCATCAACCTCCACATTGACCCCATGACATCATGTTCCCGCCAATTTTGATAGCATGAAAGTGACAGATTATAGAGAAGAACACGCTGCTGTGTGCAACCACACGCAGCACCCGTCCCTCCCGGGAGCGGCCCGATACGGTTGTGCATGCCGCACGGATCCGTACGGCCCGACTCTACACTGTGGGAATGAGGCCCTCATGATATGATTACACGTGGTTCGGAATGGATCGCTGCCCCCGGACGCATCTATCCGGCATCCCGGGACAGTGATCTGTTCTAAACCACGTCATTGTATCACATAGGATTACACGAGGACTGCTCCTTACAGATGCGGCCGCCGTCACCCGGTCATTGACCTGAACAGCGGCTGCAGCTAAACGGGGATATTTGAGATTCCTGCCGCAGAGCGCGAATGAAGCCGAATTGTTGCCGCTTTCTTCGCCTTTATGAAAGCTGCCGTCTGTGTGTATGATAAGAAGTCCACTAGGTGGCCCCCGTATAATATAATACAATATCCTTCCTATAATATAATACAATATCCTTCCTATAATATAATACAATATCCTTCCTATAATATAATAGCTTCACTAGGTGGCCCCCCACACGTGGCCCCTCAGCCGCAGAGTGCCCACCTCGCAGTTTGTACTGCTCTCCGCTCGCTGCGTTGACTGTGAAGGTGTGAGAGTCTTCATCGCTGGGGGAGATGACGGCCCCGGCCAGCTGCACCGTGCCCCGCGCCTTCTGATTCTTCGACTGCTCGTTCACAAAATACTCCAGCAGGCCGGCTTCATTGTTCAGGACAAAAAACCTGGAAAGAAGCAATAAAAGTCACAGGACGCATCGGTCTCATAATATCACCCGGCACAGGTATTATAAAAGATTCCACAAGGACGAGTCAATGAGAAAATATTCCCAATATGGAACATTTCTGACGTCCTCAATACTGACGAGGTTGTCGATGTTCTTTACCCAGAAGGCTCAGCTTGCTGCAAGACAAAATCCTGACTGTCCTATAATATCCCTCATATAATATCCCTCATATAATATCCTTCATATAATATCCCTCATATAATATCCTTCCTATAATATCCTTCCTATAATATACCTCATAATATCCTTCCTATAAAATATCCTTCCTATAATATCCCTCATATAATATCCCTCCTATAATATCCCTCCTATAATATCCCTCCTATAATATCTTTCCTATAATATCCTTCCTATAATATCCTTCCTATAATATACCTCATAATATCCTTCCTATAAAATATCCTTCCTATAATATCCCTCATATAATATCTTTCCTATAATATCCTTCCTATAATATCCCTCATATAATATCCCTCCTATAATATCCCTCCTATAATATCCCTCCTATAATATCCCTTCTATAATATCCTTCCTATAATATCCTTTCTATAATATCCCATATAATATCCTTCCTATAATATCCTTCCTATAATGTAATGTAATATTCTTCCTATAATATAATGTAATATCCTTCCTATAATATCCTTCCTATAATGTAATGTAATATCCTTCCTATAATGTAATGTAATATCCTTCCTATAATATAATATCCTTCCTATAATATAATGTAATATCCTTCCTATAATATAATGTAATATCCTTCCTATAATATAATATCCTTCCTATAATATAATACAATATCCTTCCTATAATATCCTTCCTATAATATAATACAATATCCTTCCTATAATGTAATATCCTTCCTATAATATAATGTAATATCCTTCCTATAATGTAATATAATATCCCTCATATAATATCCTTCCTATAATGTCATATCCTTCATATAATATAATATCCTTCCTATAATGTAATATCCTTCCTATAATATAATATCCTTCCTATAATATAATACAATATCCTTCCTATAAT